GCTTACCTCTTGCAGCTGTGTTGCAGAGGGCTAAGGGGTCGTGTCTCCATGCACGGTGACAAGCTTTGGGAGTTGGTGTTGGAGCATCAGACAGTGTTTGCCGAGTTGGATGGAATGTGTGACCCCTTTGACGTAGACGCAATTGCCAGTGGATACAGCAGCGGCTTGCTGTCGATCATCCGCAAAGGATCTGTTTGCCTTGATGAGCTCACCGAAGATGCTCCTCTCCATGTTGGTGGCGAGAGTGGACAGCGCACGGACTCAGCAAAGGCTCCGCCGACGACCCCTGGAGTTGCTCGTGGCGCAAGCAGTATCCGGCTTGTGTCTTATGACACTTTGAGTATGCTTGCGTCTGACCATGTGAGCAAGGGCAAGGGCATCGATGGGAGTCCTGGTGCGCTGTACTCGACCGAGACTTTGAGGGATTTGCGGCTCCGGCTAGCCGCAGACAGTATGATGCAGTGCAGGACCAGAGCATTGAAGAATTTAATCCAGGCAGTGCGTTGTGATCATGAGAGTGAGAGAGTTGTGTACCATGTGAGTGATGCGATGTGTCTGTTGTCATGTTTCTCGGCACCAGGTCTGTTTGCGTAAGTGCAAGTGGTGACTCATATCTTTCCACATGTTGTGCAGTGAGTCTTTGGAATCTCAGTGGACATGGCTTGCGTCAGAAGCTTTACAGGACATACGAGGACTCACACGGATGCAGCAAGGCCATCACATTTGCTGTGAAATCGGTGGAGAAGGGCGAGAAGATTATCAAATCGACTGAGGTGCTGCTGCGTCTGGAGCTGAATGAGTCTCTCACTGCCATTGTCAATGATTATGATGAATTGTCCAAAGGGCAAGATGGCGCCAGGGCCAAGTTGGAAGATGTGACTTCCGAAAAATTTCGTGCATCGTTCCGATGCTACTTCTGGGGTGATGTCAGCAACTGGGCCATGGCCATGGCGGTTCACTGTCAGCTTACTGTTGATACTGCACGCACGAACAATGAGATAACTATTGCTCAAGCGTTTATTTCTTGAAATTTGTGCTTGACTATGCTCAGGCAACACAGCACCACTCATTGGAAAAGCTCCTCGAATTATGACCACAGTGCCACTTGCAGTGCTTGCTGTTGGTCCAGAAGGGAAACATGAGCCACTGCAGTACCGTCACTCGGCTGCGCTTTGGAGGTGAGAGAAGAAGTTCAGAAATGGTGCATGTTGTCATATGTTGCATGGGGATGTTTCTGTTGTGTGACTGCTGGTAGTTATGGGTTGTGCTTGCTCAGGGCAGCATGGTGCAGAAGCAGATGATGAGCGCGCCCTGTGCCCATTGACGTTCTATCTCAGCGGCTCGGGCATGGACAACTTGGATGCGGAGGCAGTATGCCCTGCGTGGATGATACCGCCTACGGACCTTAAGCGACCAACAATGGTGGTCCGCGAAGCAGACCATGAGATGGAGTACCGCGGGCTCAAGCTGAGGTACAAGCTCCATTACCTGGGCCTTTCGGAAGATGAGGCAGACTTGACTCCCGTTCTCGTGAAGGTCATCGATGGACATCCGTACATGGTTCTGACGCGTGGCCATTTGCAGGGGACTTAAACTAGGAAATGTAGGTGAGCTGAGTGAGCTGCACACGCATGCGTGATGAACTACTGATAAGGCATGTCTCATTTATTCGCTTGCAGGTTGGGTGAGGAGTGGAAGCCACGGAAGGGCGTCAAGCGTCCATACCCTGGCCATGAGTTCGCTCCAGATGAGGACACATGGTCGCGTGCAGATGACAGCTTGAAGCAGTTCGGCTTCTTTGGCGGAATCATGCAGGGCGGAGGGCTGTCTGCGGCAGCAATGATGTCCCGTGCGTCTTCAAAGGGTGTACAGTCTCCTGCAAAGAAGCTGCGTGTGTGCAGCGCCGCTAAGCACTTGTCAAAGTAGATGCTTGCACTTTGAGGCGGTCTCGCTAATTCAATGCCTGACTGCAATGTTGAGTGGTGGCAGCTGATTGATGACGGATACCAGTCAATGCCAATGCCACTGAAATATGAAGTCCATCTCTTTTGTGCTCGCGTCCAGAGGCAGGTAGGCCTTCTTCATCTGTGATTAGTCAATGAATCAACGATTTCTCTGAGTGCTAGCCTGGAACTGGAGCGAACGTAGCTAGGATGCCAGATTCGATGCTATCTCTGGAACTTTCACTCGTACCGGCTGAAAACATTTTTCGTTGGCGCCTGCTTGCAATGTGCAAACAACAGTCTCATGTTCCGCTCTGTCTCTCTCTCCATCTCGCACGCATGGCATGAAGTGAAGCGGTCGGTGCAACATGAGGCTGCATGCAGTCAAGGGATAGTGACAAGCGGCAATCACATGCAGATGCAAGGTTTCAGCAGAACAAGAACATGGCCCACATGCGCACAACCACAACAAGCCACTGCAACATGCAAAGCACTACGTCACTGTCAAGGGAGGGCAGCAGCAGCAGCAGCAGCATGATATCAGCAACAGCAGCAGCAGTGGGTGAGACGGTGAAACATTGAAGTGAAACATGTGAAACTGTGAAACACTCACAAGGTTTTGCTCAGCTACACTTACAACAACAAGAACAACCCAAGCAAGGACACCCCGTACAGCTGCATCAACATCTATGTCAAACAAAAAAGTCATCGCTATTGCTACTGCTATCGCAACTACCACATATTTGCTTCACCACTTTGGAAAAACAGCCCCAAGCTAGGATGAGGCTGTCATCAAATTTCATCATTCGCACCTCAATCGTAGCATATGTTATCCCCTTGCGCAGGTCAACATGCTGCTTGGGATGTGACTTTGCACGGATGGCGCAAAGGAGAAAACCAATTGCGGACTCAGCGCACTGATTCGGATTTCAAGCCACGGGTTTAAGTCCAGACATTCCCAAATATTACCAGCTATGCTGATAAGGAATGCCCGTCGGGAGGTGGGATCTGTCCCGCAACTATTACCCTGAACCTGCCCCCAGAGGCCAACGGACATCCTTATACCATCCCGCTTACGCCCTTATGCCCTAAACATGGATAAGCTAATATGAACCCCCTTTACCCCTAAACCCCCAAACATGCATAAGCCAGTCTGATCCACCTTTAGCCCTAAACCCCCAAACATGGATAAACTAATATGATGCCCCTTGAATTCTGAACTCCCCTTTGAACCTGAACCCCTTAAGATGGATAAGCTAACGTGATCCGATTCCTGGGTTCCTACGTGCGGGCACCTTTTTTGGAGAAGCCTGCAGCGGACCTGCTCGTGTGGCACACATTTCTAGAGGGTCAAAGTACCACGATCATGGGGGTTTAGGCACCAAAGACTATAGTCCGAATTGTTTTTTTTCGGGTCTTAGAGCCCCAATATATGTGTTTGGACCTTTAGGGGTTGTAATCTAGTCAAATCTCACTGACGACAGTACGGCCCGCAAAGCTTCTAAGGGTGAGTGTGGCCATAAGGTTCTCCGCATGTTGCGCATGGTTCGGATAACACGTGTGATCCGCGTTGCGAGTTACATGCCGGAAGCTAGGCTGCTTTAGCGCATTTTAGTGTTACTCAGCTTCTGAAACTAGCTGCTACGTTTGATTTGTTTGATGGGAAGCTTGTTGCCCTCAGAACAGGAAGTGATGATCATCATCAAGGGGCTGACGGTCGCGTCACGCTCGGTCTTCTTCACCTTTGTGCTCCTTCTGCTTATAAACTATATCTTTGCCATTGCATTCCGGCAGCTGGCACAGGATACCCCCTTGGAGATGAGCCTTTTTCCATCTGTTCATGGGGCGGTGCTCAACTTGGTGGTGCAGTGCGTGATGCCAGATCAGGAGCCTTTTTTTCAACAGGTCTCGCGCGAGGGAGGGTGGCTGATGGGCATGCTTGTGCTGATATTCATCCTGCTGTGCTCGCTCATAGTTATCAACATGCTCATTGGGGTATTGGTGGAAGCTGTTCAGACCGTTTCGGACGTGGAGCACGAAGCCATCCAGATAGCATTCGCGCACCTTTGCTTGAGCCATGTTAGTTAAGGTCAAAGTCATTGATCATCGTCCCCTTCCTCCCTGGCAGTAACAACCTGATCAAAAAAGACGCTCACAAAACAAAAGCTCCCCCCGCCCGCAACATTAGATATTCCCTATACATGGTTCCCAAAAAATAGGGGGACCTCAATATGGACCCCAAAATACTATGATCCTGACTATAAGGATCCCGGGTACCCCTACTTTTGGGAAACCCCCATACACGATGATTTATCATAGTGGGAATGTTTAATGCATCTCAGAATTATAGGCAGCCCAAAGAGAGTCACGAGAGTCTTGAAGGGGTTCTGAGCTTCCTCCTTTCCACTGTTCGAAGCCCTGGAGCTAAACTAGACTTGGTTGCTGTGAAGGAACTTAGTTCAACTTAATCTGCGATATCTGGGAAAATTGTAAACAGTAGGCTTTCCTGGTTATAGTAACTTAATTTATGCTCCTGAAAAGCAACCCGGGATACGCCCTCCCCAATCGCACGCTCCCAACGTCTTCATAACAGTTTCGAGTGTTTTCTGCCCCGCGCTTCAAGAATTGGTATCAGACCCGAAACTTATGAAGCCCCTACGTCGATCCACTGAACGTCGATTTTTGCTGAGACACCCTCACCTCAGGAAGAAACTGTTGTGGGAGATGCTCTCAGATGGCGCACAGCCAGCTGAAAGCATCCTCACCGAGGAGGACGTCTAGCTAGCATAGAGATCTGCAAACAACTTTGTTGTGCAAGTGATATTTTAGCATGTGCCTGAAGGGCCCGCCCTTGAGCAAATAGTTGCTGAGGCTAGGGGGCGCATGGTAGATATCCGCGCTTGAGGATGGAGATCAGACTTACCCCTCTCCTAAGGCCCTAAGGGGTACATAGGGTGTACAGTAGCAAAAGTTCTGATGCGGATGAGGATGGGATGGCAAGCGCAGGGTGGCCACTTGCAAGAATTCTCAGGCTTTGCGGGTTTGAGCGTTTGGGTTTGGGGTTGCCGCGCCTCGTGGGCCCAACTTGAAACATGAACCTGGCCGGGATGCCTCTCTTTGGGCAGCTAAAGGCACGTGGTCCTAGTGGGATTACAATAATTATGGGGGTTTTCAAAGTTCAGGGGCGAGAGTCCTTCTACAAAGGACTCTTGTGTATTGGGGCCCCGCTTTTCATGGAAGCTGCCATCTATTGTTTCGTATACACATGGGCAGTGGTGCTTCGCACTTTCTTCAGCAGTCCCCTAGATGCACGATCCCCACCCCTACAACCCTAAACCCAATGGCCCCATGGCATCAACACAGCGATCCTTGGCCCCTCACAAAACAGGTATATTATTTGCATGAATTTCCCTCAACCTAGACTATCATGGCCTGAAATGACACTCTTCCCGCGCATCGTACTAAATAGAGACGCCTAGAATCCCCAACACTCACCATGTAGCCCTCGGTTATTCAGGGTAACCCTATGTTCAAAGAGATTCTTGTGACTCCTAAAATGCTAAACCCGGAGCCCAGCAAGCAGATGATCCGAAGGCCTTAAAGGCCTTCAGCTTAGCGATAGTCGGGAAAGGTTCTTCATTCCTTACTACACACCACCTTAAACCTGAAACCAGTACTTGGTGGGTCAGGGGGGCTTAGTAAGTGGGTTAATAATGGGGATAATTGAGGTTACTATATGGGTCCCAATAATCATATACTTACCCAAAACCTGTACTATAATCATTATTACCCAAATCCCAAGTACAAAATTATTGGGTACATGAACCCTCCAAGTAAGTCGACCCTGGAGGAGTTCTTCAGCATACTGGATAGGCCTGAAGCATTGACAGCGCTTTCCCAGCTTGGTGTGGATCATTTTGCTGCCAAGGAGACCTGGTCCAGCTCAGGTGAGTAGTATTTTATTTGGGGATATTATGGTACCCATTATAGAGTAAGCTTATATCCTCCTTTTGGGGTATAGTATCTTATATAAGGAATATAATCTTACTAGGTTCAACCACCAAGAAACGCTACTCAGGTGAGGGTTTTCGCCTCTTGGGTTGACAGTTTGGGTCCAACAGCTATCCGTGAACTGTTAACACATGGTTTGGAGTTCTTTTGAATTCCCAGTACATAGCATGTGAACCACAGAGCCCCCAGGACATTTTCTTAATTGCAGTCGTACCTTGCGGACTGTAAAGATGTTGTCCGCCCTTGCTTGTGGACTAGTTCTTTGTGCAGCACAACGATACTTACGAATGCTCTTAGAGTTGGATTTTCTATTGCGACCCAAGAAAGAACGGCTCTCACATAGTTTGGATGCCTCCATATTTTTTGGAACGCCGCAGTCTTGGCCAGAACTCCCGCAAACTCTTGTGAACATCTAGCGTTTATGGAACATAAAGATGAGTGGGAAGACTAATGCAGACTCATGATGAACAGACCGCCTCCCCTTAACAGTGTGGAAAATAGGGATCCTGATATTTAGGCCCTTAAAACGGGGGGCATTAGTCATGGGTCTCCATTAACGATTTCTCGACAATGGCTGCCCTAAATCCCTAAAGCCTAAACCCTAAAGCTCAAGTGAAGGAGTATGGCAAGCTCCTCATGGAAGATGGGCAGCCGATCAGTTTTGGAGAGTTGCTGGAGCGGGCTCAGCTGGGTTGCTGTTAAGGAACTTCTATAGTTTAAGTTGCTATATTAGGGTTTAGGGTTTAGGGTATGTTATCCCCCTATAATGGAGAATCAATGGAAAAGAACATGGAAATGATATGAAAACTGTGGTAATTTGTGGATTTAAGGAACTTAAGTCAAGTTATTATATTGGGGAAACCTCTATATATATATACATATATATGCATATATATATATACATATATATGCCCATACCCATTAGGGCAACTGAAATTAAGTTCCTTAACAGCAAACCAGTCAGGGATTGCAGTTCTGGGCTCATCACAGATTTCATGCTTTGTGGCTTGCTGGGCTTAGGCCTTACAGTGTATTACTGGGCGGCTGTTACATTAAAACGTGCCATAATGGGTATATATCGTAGTTAGTATGGTTTCCCCAGTATGGTATCTTAAATTCAGTTCCTCAACAGCAACCCAGATTACAGCCTTGGATGTCGAGGGCTTTGGTCCCTATGGTTGTACGCGGCTCCTCCCATATCGGACTGCAGTGTTTTTTCTGTGTGTTGGACAGGTCTGTTTGAAATTGCTCATCGGAACATGTACCCAGTATCCCCCCTCCCATAACCTCAAAAGAACTCCCTGGCATCGCGGCGCCTGATGCTTAAGATTTCCAGAGATTGGCGTAGACCTGCAGGGTGACCTCCTCATGCAACTGAAGCCCCTACATTGCATGGGGCATCCTGAATTGATTTTATCTTGTCGTCCCAACAAAATGCCAAGACTGTGATGTGCACAGGGCTGCAAGGCAGGTACATGGATGAGGATGCGTGATCCAGTTGAGACTCTGAAGCTAAACCTGGCAACCTGAATCGATAGTCCCACTTAAGTAGATAGAATATGTGATATGTGGGGATCTTATGATAATATACTCAAAGCCATATTCTATCTACTTAAGGGGGACTATAGAGGTAAATGGGCACATGGGCACATGTTAAAAGAGGGTCCTTGAACCCCCACTAAATACCCGACCCCAATGACACAGACAAGGATGACTATTCTGACACACCCATCACCCGTCCACTGCAATCCCAAAGGGTCCGAACCTGGCACTATCACGGAAGTTGGGACGGAAAACTTGTCTAACCCTCAAACCCTAAACCGAATAAACTAACATCATTTATCTTCTTAAGTTTACTAATATGATCAGCATTAATATAGTAAATATTTGTAATATTATTGATGGGGCTTCAATCCACGACACTGATATAGTCCCCCTTAAGTCCTTAAGTAATTAGATAGAATATGGGGTATATGGGGATCTTTGGATAACATACGCAAAGCCACATTCTATCTACTAAAGGGGGGGCTATAGATCTGCACCACTCCTGAGAACAGGAGAGCATCCTACATTGATCATATAGAGTATATTAAGGCGATTTTGGGGAAACCATTTAGGGGTACGACCTTAGGGGTACAACCCTGGAACCCTTGAAGGAGAGCATCCTCTTACTCCGTGGTTCGAACCAAACGACAGTGAAGGACCTCGTCACTCTCAGGAGGCGGCTCACTTAAAGTCCCCCTTAAGTAGATGGAATATGGGGTTGGGTTTATTAGAATAAGATCCCCATATACCCCGTATTCTATTTAAGGGGGACTGTACAGCTATAGATAGCCACAACAATGCACCTAAGTCCTTCGAGTTTTTCTTCCCTAGGGGAGAAATGTTGCGCTTGGGGATTTTGAGGGTCCCGTGTTTGAAGCACATCCAGTCACATCTAAGGAAGGCAAGACTTGTGCATGCTGTTTTGTTCATGTATCCTGGGGCAACTGTGAGCCTTGATAGTTTTAGTCGCAAAGGCCAAAGCTTCTGCTGTTGACCCGCTCAACAAGAGCTGTTTGTTGCAGGTATGTCGGAGATCAGTTTGTACACATCCAGGAGATCTTGCACAAGATGGCAAAAAGTCTGTCTCACCAGAAGATCCATTAATCATAGAGGAGTTCCCATGTACAACTTTTTCGTGGCATGCCTGTCCAAGACAGCATGCGCCGCGCCGGGACTCAAGAGCATGTCTGCTCTGTGCTTTAAAAGCCACACTGCCGCCGGCAGATGCAAAAACGAGATAAAACGAGTGCTTTCTGTATGGTTTTGATTTATTTGGCTCCATGCCGAGTCACGCTTGAAAAGCACATGTGCCCTCAAGCTAATAACCGCAAAAATGAAGTCCTCAACGTCGTCTGCCACGTGCCATTTCGTAGGCGAGACGGGCTTCAGAGAGGGCGAAATCCCTTGTTACACAATTCGCTTTGCATCATAACCCTAATTTTGGGAAACCTTCAACCCTAAACCTATATAACCCCTATATAACCCCTTTAAAGGTATCCCAAAAAAAAGGGAGAACTGATCCAAGGGGACAA